GTGTGCCTTGGAAAAGGCATTTTATGGTCGTAGGAACAAAAGCTGTGATATTACCCTGTGGTTCGGACTTGGTTTCGGTGACACCTGCCGCTGATAAGCCCGGTCGGTCATCTCACCCGTGTTTCGACCCCTGGCAGAGGCGCCGGCTATCTTTTTGGAAGCAAGGTCACCCGGGAATTCAACCAAGTTAACGGCCTCGAACTCATCTGCCGAGCACACCAACTCGTCATGGAAGGTAAGCCTTCCGCGCCCCTGCTCTCTGGCTGCGAGGGGTTGACGGCTTTAACATGGGCCAGCACTTCTTATGTCTTTGGTGAAGTTGAGCGGCTCCTGAGGTCTCTCGGTCCCGTCCAAGACAAGTCGTAGAAAGTTTTTAGCATCCTCCGATACTCGTTGCCTTCTAGAGTCACACCTCTTGTCCCCTCGTCATCCCTCTTGCCCTGTCTGCAGGTTTCAAATATCACTTTGCCGAACGCTCTCTGGTCACCGTCTGGTCCGCACCTAATTACTGCTACCGGTGTGGGAATGTGGCGGCCGTGCTCGCGTTTGACGAGAACTTGAACAGGGAGTTCAAGATGTTTAAAGGTGAGGTGGTGGGAGCAAAAAGAAGAGGAAAAGGCGAGGGTGCCGCAAATGAGCATGTGAGAGGTTTGCCGTGTGTGTCCATGGCCGCCTGTTTCTATGGCTCTCTAAGCTCTTTCCTTTTCCATGCCCGTACTGTACAGAGGTTCCCGAAAGCAATCAGGCGGAAGAACGACGAAATCTCGTGCCCTACTTCTTGTAACTTGCGCCGAAGGATACGGACGAGGGGGGGGGGATGAAAGGCAAAAGACGTCCTCAAGCATAGAGGTCGAAAATTTTGATGACAATTTAGAGGCGGAGTGATCGGGCGTGCAAGCTGTATAAATAAGACACATGATCTCGTCGAGGATTGCCTGGAAGTGTAAGTCTAGGTCGCCTGAGCGAGGGCCTACGATCTCGTCTTGTCTACATAAGTCCTTATCCTGCAACAGCGAAGAATGGGAGTCTTCGAAGCCGTAAAAGAAAAGTGCGGGCTGACAATGGGATCGCACTTTTATCGTCTGTGCGTGTCGTGCTGCTCACTTTTTTTCCTTTTGGCGTCGGGAGTCGTCTGCCAACATCTTACCGCCTGTGGGAGTGCACACGTTCCAGGCTTGTGTAGCCCACACAGCGAAAGCGTTCGATTTATGCGCTTCTTTTATTTTGCTCCTTGGCCGCTGTTTGTTCCGTCCCCCATCCATTCATGTTTTTCGTTGAGCCCCGTCATGATCACAGACTTCCTCCTCTTGGTTCCATTAAATCCATAAGAGCTCCGTTCCTTCCTCCCGCATCGCTCCCGCCGACAATAGCCTCATCTTCCTCCCCCGGCGGTACTGGTCGCTGCTGCGGCCGCCGTTGGCAACCCCGACCCTGGGGGGGAGGAGAAGAGGGCCGCAAAGGTCTGTGGTGGCAAGTACTGCTGCAAGGAATGCCGAGGGGCGTTGCGGAGAATCCAGGGATGCGTGGGTATTTTCTCCAAGGGCAACCGGTGCGTCGGCTCCTTGACTAGCAATTTTGCGATCAGGTCTTGGGCCTCAGGGGATACCTCTGAAGGGAAACGGAGATCCACTCGGCTGATCCTCCGGTAGGTAGCTTGATGGCCCTCCGCCTCGAAAGGAGGGTTGCCGACCAAAAACTCGTACATCAAGACCCCAAGGCTCCAGACGTCGACCCACTTGTCGTGCTTTTTCCCTTCAATCATTTCGGGGGGCAGGTAGTCCAGCGTCCCGCAGAGTGTCTCTCGGCGCGAAGACGGGGCGTGGACGGACCAGCCGAAATCAGCAATCTTCAACTCTCGCCGCGGCCCAAGCAGCAAATTCTCCGGCTTAATGTCCCGGTGAATAACGTGCTTTTTGTGGCAATACCCGAGGGCAGAAGACATTTCCAGAATGAACTGCGCCGATTGCCTCTCAGAAAAGTGGCCTTGATTGGTAAGGTGCTTGTAGAGCTCTCCATGGGGAGCGTACTCAAGAATCAGGTAGATGCGTTTGTCGTCATAAAAATAACCATACATGCGCAGGATATTTTTGTGTCGTAGGTGCGCTTGAATCTCAATCTGCAGCGCGAGCAAAGCATGGGGGGGGGGGGGTTGGATGAGATGGAGGACCTAAATGGGTTGATATGCAAAGGCCAACAATAGCAAACAAACCTCTCGTCGTAGTTGGTGCTCCACCGAGGATCTGAAGAGCTGGCGCTTTTCAAGGACTTTTATGGCGACGATGAAATGCGTGCGTTTCTCCCGAGCTAGATAGACGGCACCAAATTTCCCTCGTCCCAGTTTTCTGCCTATATCAAAATCATTCAAAGACCACACCCGATCTGGATCGGCTGGTTCCAGAGAGGTTGCAATCTTTTGCTTCATGTCACTGCTGCTGCTGTTGCTACTGCTGTTACGGCCGCCGGAGGTACTCGTGCTGGAGGAGACCGCAGGCATGTTTTCTGACATTTCAAAAGCATGACATCCATGAAAAAAAAAAGAAAAACTTTAAACACCCTCAAAGTTGAAGCAGAACGTCCCGACAATGATAAGAAGCCTCGCCTCGAGACGCACCTTTGTCTTCCGACGTCATTTTGATTGGCTGTATGCAAATGTAGGAAGGCGCACAATCAAGCCGCTTCCTGTGGGATACGTGTAGAATGAGTTCCCAAATGAAGCGCAAAGCCGGTGCCGCTCTCCTTTACATTCCCTTACAGTAGGACATATCGTATTAGTTGCGACTTAAAATCGTTCATTTCTGCAATATTAATGCGGAACGGTCATTTTGCAGCTGTGAGGACCAAAGCGGCCAGCGTCTCACAGGACTCGCCGCAATAATTGTTTATGACAAATCAAAAGAAGCGAGGTTTGAGGAAAGTACATACTTGTGTCATCTCATTTTTTAAAGATCATAATCTGTTTTGCATGTTCGCGCGGACGTATGCAATTAAGACCCGCAAACATGTCTAGTCTGAGGCATGGTTGGACGCTGCTAAGGAAAGGCAGCGGGACCTTATCACGGCCCATTCGATCTTGTGGCCGTGACAGCGTGCCTTAAGGGAGCTATAGACAAGTACCCGAAGCTCTGTGAGACCGTAACACAAGTCGTACGCCCGGTACGACAGACAAAACAAGCAAGGACGGGTCCATGGCATGGGCGTATTGGTCTTGGTTGTTGTCGCGGGGCATATTGCTGTTACGTCACAACGGTACCTTTGACTTGAGCGATCGAGCCGCTGCCCTGGAAAACGCTTCTGAAGGGCACTTCTAGCACAGGACATGTATTTGGCAAGGCAAAGTGCAAGCTTCCTAGCTTGGCATATTCTGACACTCTACTTTATGCAACAGGGTGGGACGGGTCTGCGGAATTCTCGCGATGGAACAAAAAGAGGCTTTAAAGGAAACAAAGGAAGAAGACTCTCAATCGTCATCAGTTGCTGCCCCTACAGGCTCCCCGGCGCCGGTACCTATACAATCTGCAGAGACGTGCAGCCCTCCTAGTAATCTGAAAGATGGCGCCAACCCGCTGCCAAGCTCCTCCCCTACGCCCCAAGGCCCGGCTGCGGCCCACTCTCGTATCATCTATGGGAAGGATGTGCCCAGTGAAAACGACGAAATCCAGTACAAATGGGGTGCCATCTTCTATAATTATACCCCGGATCAACGAGCCCTACTGGCTCTAGATGAGGTATCCATGTATAGTATTACAGACACACGGTCGGCGAACAACACTTCACGCATTTTGCAGCAGCTTGTTGGTGAACGGGCCGTTGTGACAGATGGCTGTGCGGCAGCAGGGGGGAATGTTTTATCTTTCGCACAGCATTTTCGGCGGGTCCAAGCCGTGGAGCTCGATCCTCAGCGTTTCAGCCTTCTCGAACACAACGTGAAAGCATTGGGGCTGGAAGACACGGTAACAACGTTCAAGGGAGATTTCTTAGAGAAAATGCACAGCCTGCAGCAGGACGTAGTGTTCCTCGACCCACCTTGGGGAGGCAAGTCCTACGTCGAGAACGACATGGTGGACCTGTCGTTCGGCGGGGTGCCCTTAGCCGAGCTCTGCGAGCGTCTGAAGCCTCACGCTCATTACATTGCCTTGAAACTGCCCTTGAATTTCAATTTGGAGGGTCTGACGGCCCATGTAACCTCCTCGGTGGTGCGTGCGGACAGCCGATGCGCCCGGAAGCAGCTGTTAGTCATCCTGGATACGACGGGGAAAATTCACTCTAATCTGCGAGAGGGGGGGAGGGGAGGGAGGGGCAGAGGAGGAGGGAGAGGGGGGCACAATCGCGGGCAGGGCGACAGACCTTGGTCGCTAAAGCGCAAATCAACATAAAATGCAGCTTAAATTACGTAAAAAGCGCTCCACCCGCGTTTGAATGCAGATACCCTTGTAGACATGGACGATATAAGACATTGTTTACCCGATTTTCCGGCTTATTGTAACATATGCTTACATCACCACCCCCGGCTCCCCTCCCGTCTTGAGGCGCCTTGAAAGACACGCTGAGACGCCAACCCTAATACACAGTACTATTCCTGTAAGCGTCGAAAGACTTCACGAGGAGACAGACATGTGTGGTACAGGTGGCAATCTACGTCCGAGGGCATGCACAAGAAGCCGTCACCCAGCCGGGCCTTTCCACCTCCTCCCTTCTCTATACCCTTGCCGCAGAAGCCATCGAGCGCATGCTTCTCCCACGCTGCACAGAGCTATATACAACCGCCACCCCAGTGCTGCATTCCCCCTTGCGCATACCCTTTCTCCCTACGCCCAGAGCGCCTCATCCTCCTCCAGCGCCTCATCCAACACGTCCACTTCCTCCCTCCCTCCCTCCCCCCCTTCTCCTCCCCCCACCCCGACCAACATCTCCCTCTCCCTGTCCTTCCCTCCCTCGATCACGCAGGGCCCCACGCTCAGTGGTGGTGGCGGAGGTTCTATTCCACTCTCGATAGCCTCCCTGCCGGCCCCGCCCGCCCCACTCCCCCTCCCGCCCTCCCCTACTCCCCCCCTCGAAAGGCTCCATCCCTCCCGTCGTCCGCCCTGCTCAAACTCCATCCCCTCCTCTCCCTCTACCCCTGCCTTTCTCCTCCCTACCCATTCCTGCAAGAGCGCCTCGCACGCCTCCTCTTCTGCGCTCTTCCTGCCGCCCATGCCCTCCTTCTCCTTCCTCCTCTCCACGACATCGTCCCCCGGCTGCGCGACCGTTGAATCCAATGAGGACGGCCCCTCAAACCGGCTTATTCCTCCTTCCCCCCTACCTTCCCCCCTCCTCCTTCCACCCATCAACCCCAGGAAATACGCCGAAGGGGAAGCCGCGTCCGATCCGATTTTCTCGACCGGCTCCTGCCCCCGCCCAGCAGAGGGAGCCCCTGCCCTCCCTCGAAGCGGACGACCGCAGTCATGGTCCATGGAGAAGAATTTCCCCGGATGCTGAAACCGGGCTTCTCTCCGGGGCATCCCCTCTGGCCCCCCACCCAGGCCCTCCCCCGCTCCCTCCCTCGCCCACGACGTCCCCTCCTGGAGATCCATCCCCTTCTCCTCTCCCTCCCACACGTCCTCCGCCCCTTCCTCCATCCCTTCCTCCCCTCCTTCTTTCCCCCCTACCCCATCGACCCCGGGGCCCAGCACGGCCAAGGCCTGCATCCGCGCGTCCTCCGTCGCCCACCCCATGCTCAGACGCATGCCCGAATGCACCTCCCCAGCTTGTCCTCCTCCGTGCCAAGAAGACGCAGGAGGGTTCGGTGTATGGGCAGACACGGATTGTGGTCTGACGGACTCATCAACTCCCACACCTCCACCTCTCTCGGTGTCCTCCACTCCCATCGCCACGAGCCCCTCCTCTTCCTCCCCGTACCTCACCCCGCTCGGCCGGCCGGGCTCCTCGCCGTCCACCGCCATCATTCCCCCTATCTCTACCCTTTCCCCTCCATTTTTCTTCTTCATTTCACTTTTCTCGATTCCGACTGCTTTGTAGAAGCCTCGGACGTTCTCTGGGACGACATTCAACCAGCGTTGCACGCCGGGCCCGCTCACCAAGATCGCCGCGCCACTCAACACCATGACGGAGCCAACGCAAAGGTCCGGGCCGTATTCATCGATTACATCGGGGTGCAGGTACCCCTGCACTCGCCCAGTCGGGTCGGCAAATGTCACACTCACGCTGCCATCGCTTGTATAATTCAAGGCGGCTAGCACGCCCGCCATTTTTTTCCCCACGCGCAAGGCCTCGTCCTGCCATCCAAGTGCCACTTCCGCACATGTACACCCGAGCACTGCTCGAAGGTCTTGAGCATTGACTACGCCTGAGACGGGTAGGCCATAATCCTCGCACATCTGGTGCCAGGCGCCTCGCGGTTGCTTGAAGTAAGGCAGGAGGTTGACATTTACCGCATTGGAGCCTGTCCCTGAGGGCGGGTTGAGCGGCTCCTGTGTCTGCTGGCGCTCTTGTTTGTCTAAGTCTCTGTACGTGCGCCCAGCACTATCCTGATCACTGGTAGCGGGGTGACGAGAGCCGAGGAGACCTAGTGGGCCCGGAAAACGGGGAGGAGGTTGCCACGGAAGCCCCCCTCCCCTCTTGTCAATCCCTCCTTCCCCTCCCTTCTCCGCCTGTGTGCTACCAGAATATGCCATACCGCTTCCTGCGTATCAATGATAGGTTCTTGTTTCAGGGTGGGCTGTAGAAGGGGAGGAAAAGCAAGGAAGTAGTTCTTCCCACTGGCGGGGAAATCCCTGATACGTCGCTCCACACGCGCTCTCCGGGATTTATTTCACACCTGTGAGTCTCATTTCTCTTGCGTGTTTTTCGAGGCGCACCATTCATTTGCACAGTCCTTCTATTTAGAATAAATTCACTTGACAGGCTAGGTTCTCCGACAAACCAGATTTTGTCATGCTATTTTTCTTGCATTGCACTTATACCCCCCCGCGCGTTTAAGCTTTGCGAGGGGTCAAAAAAGCTACCCTTAACATGATAGACACCGAGAAGAATATATTTGTTTAAATGAAAGCACCTTAAAAAAAAATCTACGTAATATATGAGGACAGGTTAAGCTTTTGGATGCTTTCTATGCGGCGTCTTCGTGAGGATGACGATGGGACTGAAAAAGCAGTTACAATTTCACGTCTTATATTTTTGGGCTGAGACATGCCGCATCCGCTTGGGAAGCTACCACTTTTTCAGTTTTACAAATTCTTTGGATGAAAAATTAATAATTACGCCCGTGACTCTCTTTCAAGCGCAGCACCCACCAGATTGGAGGCTCTCATGGCTGTCTGTGCTGACGCTTCCCGTCTTCGCCCCTGCAAAAGCGCGTCTTTCGGCGAGATGACCTTTTGGCGGACACGGGACGGAAGCAAGATGGACTGGGTACCATCCGGAATCCGTTCCCCTTTCTCCTTCTTTAGACGCAAGGCTTGCTGTTGCAAGGCGCGGGCCGCGGGGACCTGGGCCTGTAGACGATTGATCCGGTTCTGGTGGGAGGGATGCGTCGACAAGAATTCTGGCAGACCCACTTGACTATTCTTTCCGCTGCCGCCTTGGGCCCCGTCTTCCATGCGCTTCCACACCTCTACCGCCTCTTGCGGGTCGTAGCCGGCCAGGGCCATGAGCTCCATCCCCAGCTTGTCCGCCTCCGTCTCGAGCGTGCGAGAAAAGGGCATGTCAATGACCAAGGCCTGCAAGTAGGGCAACACCGTGTACTGGATGTACCGGTGCGAGGAGGCACCCAGGAAGCCGGCCATGAAGTCGAGGAAGAAAGAGCCGAGGCATAAGACGCCTATCTTCTCCACGGAATGCCGGGCCAGGGCGTGGGCGACCTCGTGGCCCAAGATGAACGCCAAGCCGCCGCGAGTCTGCACGTGTTCGAGGAGACCGGTGTAGACGAAGATGTTGCCGGAGGGCAGAACGAAGGCATTTACCACGTCGGAGTCGATGACGCTCACTTCCCAATGCCTGTCTGCGATACGAGCTTCGAGACGCTCTTTTTGCTCCGTGGTTTCGGCCAAAATGCCGCTTTGCCCCTTCACGCACTGCTGCAGACTTCTTAGCAATTCGACGGCCACGTCGTGCACAAGCAACGTCTCTGGCGCCGACGCTGTTAAAATAGCATTCTTTTCTTCTTTGTATACTTGCGATGCTGCCATGGCTCCCAATTCCATTTCTTGCTCTTCGTCGACGAAGACGAGCTGCATCCTATGTGTCAACGGTGCCTCCTCCAGGTGTGAAACGACGAAGACTGTGCCCAATCCTGTAGGAATGAGCACGAGTCCCGCCGCAATCGCAGGCGCAGATTTATGTATGCCTCGTGCACGGATTGCTCGTGCCATACCCCCAAGAAGGCGACCTGCTAGTCGAAGAAGGACTTGTAGCTGCTCAGGGGACAAGGCATTGCCCCGCCGAAGGACCGCCTTCCCCGCGTCGTGTAGGATCGGGTGGGACACCGCGCGGAAGGTAAGGGGAAATAAGGGTGCATGCGTCCTTGCCTTGTCCACAGCGACGCGGTGCGCACGCATAATTTGGGCCCAGATTGCCATATAGGACGGTATGCACATCGGGAGGAGTGTCCTGACCAGGTCGAAACCCGTTCGAAGAGGCAAGCACGCTGTCGTAGGCCACGTCTCACAAATTGTGCGGACATGAACGGACTCCCTGTACGGTTCAAGTGTCCATGTGCTGGTATCAATGCGTGAACATGTGGTCAGGAATGTATACATTCCCGTGAAAGCAAAAGCGGGCTTTTGAGCGGGGGGCGAGTTGCTTCTTCGGCGAGGTCACGCATGCCCTTGCTACTGATTGCACTCATATGCCAGACCTTGATGTGGCGGCGTGCGAGCGGAGCCCATTTTCTACGAACATTACTCTGACCCTGCTCCAAGACTCCTCTCCGCGCGTGCACGGTGATCGAAAAAGGCATTGGAGCAAGGATTTATTGTACGAATCGAGTCACGAAGCCACTGACCCCCCCCAAAAAAAAATCCTATATCAGTACATATACCAGCAGACTGTCTATCACACAACGAGGAGGTACAGATATGGACTCAACGGATGGAAATGACACAAATGGTGATACCCCTGCAGCTGCCACCGACAATGGTACAGCTTTGTGTGACCAAACTGCACCATC